AGGCAGACTACATTGCATATTATATTTCTAAGATGGACCCATACAAATGTTACGTGTAAGCAGAGCATGTTTCATTGAAAAAAAGAATACTGAAAATGTACAGTATAGTTTGCAGCTCCTCCTTGCAAACATGCGCAGCAATCAACAGGTGTTTGCGGTACTGCTCACCGACGTCCTTGACAGGCAGCTGATGATGGAATACATTTTTGATTCTAGATATCTTTTAAAGAAAAAATATATCGTGTATGATTCAGCAGAACCCACCAATACATTTATCCCTTACTAAGACCTGCTACTGGTCCTGTATTAAATATTGTTAATATCTGAAATTATCTTTTTCTTCAAATATGATTGGTTGTGCTAATATCTATCTCCACACCTCATTAACATTCAAGATTATCTCCCTGAGCCAGCAATTTGCATATATCATCTCATTAGTATTCTCCGGCAACTAATCTCAGTTCAGGCTGTGCCTGGGGTCCTCCCCCCACCCGCTGATTCATTAATATTCAAGCTTACTTATAGCAGAGCTGTCAAATATAAGACTCCGGGAGGCTGATTAGGCCCCTTGGGGTCTCTGATATTTCCTGCGGCACCCTTACCACATTCTGCCTAATACAACCATCTACAAGGGTACAAATGGAAGCTCTTAGCTGAGTAAAGGGATTGTTGGCAATCCAGGATGTCAGTCTTTCATCCATTCCTTTCAAATTAAATTTAATGACTATTAAATAGTGAAGTGAGCACAGCATAGAGTGACATTTGCTGGAGTCTGCAGCCAAGGTTGGGGCTGCTTCTTCAGCTCCTAGTTTCATTTATTTTCTTCCTTGTGGCTTTTGCATATTCCAGCGCTGTTCTTTTTTTTTCTCTCCGCCATAAACCAAAGTACTGTTCCTTTAGTGTTCATACACAAAAAGCTGCACAGAAATGACTCACCAGGAAGTGCCCTAGTCTGTTGTGTGCTTCTAAGGTAGATATATTGGAGGTGCCTGGGACGCTTTCTCAGAAACCGGTGGTGGTGCTGAACCATTGGTGTATGGTGGGGAGAAGCAATTAACATTAACCAAACTGATCCAGGATTATGTGAAGTGACAATTTTAACTTGGCTGAAACGTAGCTGGGAAAAGTAACTTTTTGAAATAACAACTGGCAGAGTACCCCAACTGGCATGGTCAGCATGACATACTAACTAAAGAATTCTGAGAGCTGTAATCCAAAAAGGTAAATACTTCCATCTCTGATTAGACCAAAGGCTGTTGTGTGGCTCAGAAATATGCTAATTAGAGTTGACTTTGAATTTAAGGGCACCTGTGGCCACGTGTCCCCCAGCAGGTCCAGTGGGGTTCAAGTGTTACCAGCAGACAGATGGTCCAATAATACTTTAAACTTCTGACAATATTCTCTGAGCAATGCCAGGTCCTGCTACTGCCATAATTACTCCCATTCTGTGGCTTAGTCAAGAGGCACTCTGGGATATATTTTAATGGAGAAATGAGAAGAACTACATGTTATTGTGAAGCTAGCGTGTACTTTCCTTTTTGTAAAAGCAAAAATGAGATTCTTCTGTCTTGACTTAGTCTATAGTAGGGGAAGATACACCCTTTTTCTGCTTATGGTCCCAATCCAGATCACACGGTGACACCATCTGTGGCTTAGTCAAGAGGCACTCTGGGATATATTTTAATGGAGAAATGAGAAGAACTACATGTTATTGTGAAGCTAGCGTGTACTTTCCTTTTTGTAAAAGCAAAAATGAGATTCTTCTGTCTTGACTTAGTCTATAGTAGGGGAAGATACACCCTTTTTCTGCTTATGGTCCCAATCCAGATCGCACAGTGACACCATCTGCTAATAAGTCTGAAGACAGGAAAAAAATTGCTTTTCTCACTTCAGAATGTTTCCCCTACCAATAACGTAACATTCCCAGTGTGCTGTAGTGGATAGAATGATAGACTATGACTCGGGAAGCTTGGCTTGAATTCCCACTCAGCCATGGAAATGAATTGGGGTGTAGAACTGGTAAATATACGTAATCATCATCATCATGTGGTGTATGGCCACCCTTTTCAGGTTTTCATGCTAGAGAATATTCAGAAGTAGTTTACCATCCCTGGGACTGCACAACTTGCCCCAAGTCCCACAAGCTGGCTCTTCTCCTTGGGGGCACAGTGGGGAATCAAACTCTCAACCACTGAGCTATCTACCCAGCTAAAATAGGAATGATGTGCGTTCTTCTGGAGGCACCCTGGGACTGCACAATTTGCCCCAAGTCCCATAAGCTGGCTCTTCTCCTTGGGGGCACAGTGGGGAATCGAACTCTCAACCACTGAGCTATCTACCCAGTTAAAATAAGAATGATGTGCCTTCAAGTCAATTCTGACATATGGCAACCCTTTTCAGTGTTTTCTAGGTAGAGCGTACCCAGAAGCAGTTCACCATTCCCTTCTTCTGGGGGCATCCTGGAACTGTGGAGCCTGCCCAAAGCTACACAGGCTGGCACTTCTTGCAGGAGGTACAGTGAGGAATCAAACTCTCAACTTCTGCCTCTGCTGCCAGATAAACCACCCCTTAAATATCTCACATTGAAAGCCCAATTAGGGTCATTATAATTGGGTTCTGACTTGATTGCACATCCACCATTACAATGACAACATTATCTACTATAAATTGTCGCTTTATTAGTGTGGAACATATTGGGAACAATGATAAATGAAAAGTGGTATACAAATAATTGGAAAGAAAGAAAAGGAGGAGGAAATGGTCCTTGAGCTACCATTTTGGCTGGAAATACCAATTGCATTAGGTCCAGAAGCCAAAAAGGGAGAAAAAATGTATGTAATAGAAGACTAATGTATGCTCCACAGACAGCACTGTGATATTACCTTCTCCGTTACCATTTAGACATAAGGTTTGAATGTTTGTGTTCGTAAAGGCTTTTTTTAAGGTGGTATTTTAATATACCGGTATGTGTTATACTCAAGTTTAACCATTAGGTAAAGAGTGAGGTATTTACTACAGGCAGCAGATTTTGGATATCACAATGAAAAGACAGCTAATGGTTAATTATTTAATTTGTTCTGATTATATTATTACAATATTATTACTGTCAAAGATGAGATATTCTACCTTGATTACCAAAAATCTTGACTGGCTTGAATAATACAGATTTTTCAGGGTGGGTGGCAAAATTCACAAAATCCCTATCCCTAGTTCTGTTGGTTGTTGTTTCATAATCCATTGTGTTTTTATAATTCATTGGGGGGAACCTGCCTTAAGTATAGTCAGAACAATGGTATATCTGTCTCAGTGTTGTCTATGCTGACTGAACAACAGTTCTTAAGTACTGTACTGTATCTATATTATAGGGTTCATTTTTATCTGTGGTTTCCTGTATTCTGAGGGGGGTGGGGGCTTGGAACCAATCCCCAGTAGATACAGGGGCCTTTACTATACTTCCAACATGGATATTTCAAAAGCCTTCTTGGTGAGTTTGGGATTAGATTTGGAACCTTCAGTATACTAACTATTGTTTAATACTCTGAAATCTACAAATGTTTTTTAAATAAAAATAATGTAATTAATTAAAATTAAAATCTTTGCTGCCAAATTCTCAACAGATTGTTTTCAGAAAGCACTCTACAGAACTGTGTCACAATGTTTTCAGAGGTACTGTATTGTGCAATTGTGTTGACTGAATCAGAACTGTGCAGGGGATACAGATGTGACCAGCTTCCATTTATTACCCTCCTCTGTACTCCTGCCTGTTCTTCTTTGGGGTTTACCTTTTTCACAAAAGGTGTACTCAAAACACAGTGGATACTTCCAAATGAATTTGTAGATGTCCTCCAGAAAACCATGTGTTTTGTTTGTTTATTTATTTATTTATTTATTTATTTATTTATTTATTCATTCCTCCTATATTTACCATTGTCTTTTTTCCTTCCACAAACAGTAAAGAAGGGAATGATGGAACAGGTGCACTACGCCTTCTGAATGCTACCTGAGCCACAAAAGCTCGTATTAGACTGTAATAGTTAGTCTTTAAGGTGCCACAATGTTTCCGTCTGTTTTTAATTAGTATTCTTTGGGTTTTGCCTGGTATGAAACCTACTAGTTAGGGATAGCTGACATTCCTGGCATGAATCAAAGTAGCCATCTCCTCACTGTCCCATGGTGGAATTAATTACACATTTACTCAAAAGTAAGCCCTGATGTAATCCATACGTGGCTTACTGACAGAAAGGCATTATAGGATTGGAGGCTTAATAAATATTACCCCTCAAGGGTAGCTGTCATCTACAAACACTTCCTTTGCGTACCCAGACCTGGTGCTGTTCAAACTTGTGGGGATCGGGGTAGAAATCGAATAAATAAATAAATAAATAAATAAAATAGCCTCCCAGCGATTTTCAGATTGACACCATCAACTGAACGTGTCTACGGCAATGACTGACTGTGAGTTTTCTATTCAGAATTCGTTACGACTTTGATACCCAGAATATATCTACAGTAATTAGCTCCCGAATCAGTCATTTTTCTAGTTAAAGCCTGCCTCCTTCTTGTTATAAACATATTTATAAGGCTTAAAACACTGCTTTTTAACGCTCCCATCTTCAATCAGCTGCTTCCTCTTGCCAGTTGGGTGGGCTTACTTTTGCATTTTGACCAATTAGGAACCTGCCCGCTTTGTTTGAATAAGGAAGAACATGAGAAAGGGATTTTCCTCGTTAACCACTCTGTCGTCGCTCATTGGCTACCTCGCGACGTCAATTTGTGGTTTCCCAATCAGAGGCGCAGCGTGCCGCTGAGATGCTATTGGCCAAACGTCGAGTCAATCGTAAAGAATTTGAATCTCGCCGTTGCGCAGTTCCCGCCCTCAACCGTTACCAAATAAACAAACCACCTTGCCTTTAAAAGCCGCTCAGCTCCAACGTTCACATTCAAATCCCTCCAATCAGAGACCATGACACCGCCTCTCCACTACGGCTTTCCCCATTGGTTGCTGACCGTCGCGCACATTGGTTGTCAACGTTTCTCCGCGAGGAAAGAACCCGAGAAGGGAGGGGGGAGGAACGGACCCCCTCCGTTCTAACGGGCCTGATTGGGCAGTTGGGGTTCCAAAGAGGTGTGGCTGGCCTTGGCCGAGGGTTATAAAAAGGTTTGCTGAGCGCCGGCCACCCTCATTAAGTGAGGGTGGCGGAAGCGAGTTTGTAACAACCTGGAGGGGGAGAATTAGGAAGCGAAGGGGGGGATATTTGATTCCCCCCCCCGTAGATACATGAAAGGAGCATATAATTAAACGGAGGAGTATTGTTTCTTTTTAGTAGGAATAAGGACTATTAGACCCCAAATCAACAGACTGGGGTGCCAAATTAGGGATAAGTATATGCTCAGAAGTGCTTTAAGCATAGGTTAGGGTGCATGTGCGATCCCTGTAAAAATCAGGGTTAAATTGTGCTACTCTGCAAACTTCTGTTCAGACCCAGCACAATGGTGAGTGGCTTTTGACGTTCTGTGTTTCTGTCCATCTTTATGAACTTTCGCCCTTTTTTATGGGACCGACTATAAGTTGATTGGGGCTGATAACCTCCCTGCAACATTCTTTAAAAGGTTCAAAAGATGAGCAACTTGTACTTGTGTATGTTGATACAGTAATTTGGATACAATATATTTTTTGATATGCATGTGTGTAAACAGGTGGATGAGTAAAATCTGGTGTTTTTCTACTTTGAATGTAGATCTTAGGTTCTATATTAGTACTGAACTGAGGGAGAATTTGCTTGTGATATGATCCTAGTTTCCATTGCTGATGGTTGTTTTTTAGGAAGTAGATAGGGAAAAAGCCACATGTAGCAAATCCTGGAGTTTCATGATCCATTAGCCACCACAGGATAAGATCTAGTGCCCAGCTAAACTTAGGATGCCAAAATAGCAGTTTAGTAGATAATAAAGCATTGAGATACAAGGAGCAAAATGTCTAAAGACAGGCGAGGGTGAAAATGTGCAACTCCAAATCCAAAAGGGGTGTGCTGCTCAAAATGCACAACCTGTACTTTCAAGTGTGGAACTGAGACACTGGATAAATATTTTTAAATGGTGTAGGTTTAAATGGCCATAAATCCATAGTACTGGAAGGAGAAATTGAAAGTTGCAGACTAAAATGTGGTTAGGCCTTAACTCTTCTGAGCACATGTTAAAACTTGGAAACAAATTTGACTTTAATAAGACTTTCAAAGGAAGATAGAATTTGGTTTGGTAGGTATGGGCCATCTAGAAAGAACGTCATGTTAATTCCCTACTTGTTCTGCTATGTCCCGTTGTTGTTGTTGGGTTTTTTTTGTTATATCTTTGTTACCCCCCAGCTCTGCCCTTCCCCTTGTTGCAGGACATCTTGAGTGTCTTATGGACAGTCCTATGTGAAACTGTACTAATATAAGAGAGAGTTTTTTTAAATCTTCAAATACTTGAGGGCGTACATTTCTTACAGGTTTTAATATGTAGTTGCTTTTTAAGAAGTAGCTTGACTTCTTTAGAATTTAGTTTCGTCTTTAGCCCTAGCGAAATCATATTTGTCAATGTGTTTTGTACTGTCTCCATGTATGAGGGCAAAAATAGTTCATATTTCCTCTTTCTCTCAAACATCTTTGCTTATGTACACTCACCTTAGCTTTGGGTAGTGGGTTTTTGTTGTTGTTTTGTGCAGGGCATCTTGTTTAGGGCTCTCTTCACTTTTATCCTGTATGCTTCAAATGAAAGAAATTAAGTTGTGAAACAATATTTGATTCATATTATGTACTGTTTTTTTTTAAAAGACAATATTGGGGAAACTCTTTGACTAAGACTGCAATCCTTTACATACACTTATTAGGGAATAAGCCCCGTTAAACTCTGAAGTTGCTTTCTGACTAAACATGCTTTTGTTAGAGATTTTGGGTTACTTAATTTTATACTTGGATAGCTTTTTTTGTTATTTTTAGTGTTAGGGTTTGGGAAGATTTAATTACTAACTTGATTTGGGTACTAACTTTTCTTGCAGCAAAACTTCTCCATATTTGAATTCATCAGTGTTAATGAATTAACACTGACACCACTATCACTACCAAACTTTCGTGTTCCTATAGATTTAGGAGGCACTCTAGGCCACAAAGCTGCCTCATTTCAGAAAGATTCGGCTTTTAAGTCCACAAATCCAGTTGGTCTCTTTAAAATCTTTTGTTCTGTTTTGATCCTTGTAGGCCTTTGACTTCCTTGAGTTTGTGTCTTTTTCTGTACATACTCCTATGTGCATCTTTTGAAATCTTCCTCTCCGTATTGAGACCTGCCCAGTGTTTGACCTCTTGCATGCTTTCACCTGTGTCTAATTGTAAACCTTTTGTTAGGAAATAGATCCTTAGTAAAAGGTGAAAGAGGTGCTTTTGGAGCAGATGTTTTTGCCCGCAAGCTGAGGTGGAGGGGAAGTGAGCCTGTGTAACAACTTTGTTTTCTCATCATTCAAAATCCATTGGATGCTGTTTAATGCTGCTTTTATTTGAAGAGCTGGGTTTGGGAAGAAAACTGGTGTATTGAGTTAATTCATTTTGATTGTAAATGAAGAAGGCGTTATGGCCTTTGTAGAGTAACTGGGAATGTTCAGTATAGCATGCTGTGTCTCCAGAGTATTTTATACAGATTTTGTCCTCGTCACCGTCAGAGATTTTTATTCCTGGTGGGTGCAAAGAAATGTTCTCTGGTCAAAGGTTTAACCAAAACAATACTTCCTTACTAATATTTTTCTATGAGTGTTCTCTTGGAGTAATCTTCAGAGACAGTCCTATCCACTGTTGATGACCGGGGGGGCTAAATCTAGTTTTTCTTTGCTGCTATAGAAGCCACATTACATGAAAAGAGACTTGTTTCCTCTTATGTGAGTTCCATTGATTCAGACAGGAGTCAGCCCATAACAACATTATATACGTATGGGCTAAACTTTCTGCTGGGCTGGTACATTTTGTTTCCATTTCTTTCTAGACCTAGACTGATTTATATGTCCATGCTTGATGCAAGAGAAATCATTAGTACTCAAGTAATACTGGAGGCCGTGGATGAGCTCCACATGCCAAGAGCTAGGCCAACAGGTTCTGCTTGAGGTTTTGAGGTTGGTTAAAAAAATGGGGGTTGGACTGAAAGCACCTTTTTCAGTGCTTTAATAGCTGTGGACAAAAAATCAAGGTGTGGAAATGCCCTGTTTTTTCCCTATATGTATATTTAAATAAAGTTTGTATGTTTTGAGAACTAAGAAGCCCTCTGAAGTTGACTTACAAGCAAGAAATTGTAAACTGTAATTCAGTTTTCAGTTACTTAAACCATAAAGTTTGAGCCCCTTTTGCAATGGGCCTGCAAGCAAAGTTTCAGATTACCCATCCTGGAATATTTATTTGGCTCTGCAGTTTAGTGGAGATGACTCCTATGTGGTGAAAATTGTACCCACAGGTAGGCTTCCTATCAAAGGAGGAAGATAAAGGTACACAGTGCCCCAAAGCTTTCTAAAGCTGGGTCTGCCAATGTAGAAAAAGTTTCCTTGCAGTTATACATGTGTCAGTGCTTTCTTGATAATGCAGGTCACCAAATTCTTTCGGTCAGTGCAAATGGATATTTGGGACCAGTCAATAGTTGCAATGGGGGCTGTTCAGATATTATTTTCTAGTTGGGATCAGGGTTGAAAACAGGTCTCTCTGGTCCTTGTTGCAGCTAGAAGAAGGTCAGTGCAAATGGATATTTGGGACCAGTACGGACCAGTCAATAGTTGCAGTGGGGGCTGTTCAGATATTATTTTGTAGTTGGGATCAGGGTTGAAAACAGGCCTCTCTGGTCCTTGTTGCAGCTAGAAGAGAACAATTAAACTTTTTTGAATGGGAAATCTTCATTTGACCCTGCAAGATTAAGTGTTCCTTAAAAAGAGAATTCAGTCACCTGGGATCAAATAAATTGTTTATTTGGTTTTTCTCCACTGACGTAGCAGTGAGCACAACACATGTGTAAGCATAAGTCACTTCACTGGTAGTGCACACAAGTATAGGATAATGATACTGTTTGAACAGCTCCACGAAAACTGACTTTCAAGTACGAGTTTAGCGTTTGTGTGTATTTGCTTTCTTTCTTCAGAAAAGTACTTTCTAGTTTCTGGAAAACATGACAGATTTCTCACCTGAGATAAGGTGTATATTATGTGTATAAAATAGGGATGGCAGATCAGAAGAGACTAGAATTGCTTTAGAAATTAATTTATTGTCACATTCCTTTTCCTACAAGACACTGAAGACTCTGCTTGTGGCATTCTTCCCTGCTGCCCCCCCCCCCATTTTATTTTTAGATCAATCCTGTGAAATAGACTAGGCAAAGAGAGAGGTAGGGGGAGACCAGCCAAGTGTCATTCAGTGAACTTTGTGTAAATGAGCAGGGGGCTTTAAACCTTGTCCATCATCTTCTTTATTTATATCTTCACATAATTTGTATTTATATATTTTTAAAAAAATCATTTTTAATCTGGTGGGGTGTTCTTGTATGTCAAGGGTTACAGGACTTGTAGTCCTAAGCAACTGGAGGGCACCAAGTTGGCTATTAGTCCTTTATTTTGATAAGATTTTCCTTCATTCTTTGGAAAGATGTATGAAACCCTTCCTGTGCTTCTGTGTCTGTCTATAAAATCCCTGTGATCACAGTTTTATACATATCTGGTTGTTAATTTTAACAATGCAAGTACTTCCGGTTCAAGATAATTCCCTGTTTCTTATTTGTCATGGCTGACTAGGTTAGTTACTCTTTAGGAATCTGCTTTACATTTTATACACACTTGGATATTTATGGGTATCACTTTTCATGGAGTGCGTGCTGCCGAATCTTAAAACAACAGACACTGGCAGTCTGATTGACTTTAGGTATTGTAGTTGGGGGCTAGATGTGACGAAGTTAAAGTGAAAGTTTATGCGTAATAATTGGCTTCTACGTATCAGATGAGATAGTAGGTGAGGAATAATAGTGAAAAGTGCAAATTATCCTTGCAGAGGGCTTTTAAATTAAACTGAGGGTCATATGTGGCTTCCTTTTCTTTAGACATACTGTATTTTTTTCCTTCCCCAAGTAAGTCTGAACCCAAATAATTTTGAATTTTGTGTTCATGAAGAAGTACTAGTTATGTTTGAAATGGGTCCTTTCACTCTCCCTTTGCTTGCTTAAAGCTTTTAGTTACACTTGACAGAATTTGGCGTTTCTCTGGTGGTTTGCCAATGTCATGTGCACAGATTTGTTCTGTCAGAAGCGTAGAATTCAAGCAGATGATGTTTCAGCAATGAGCCTCCTTAATTTCCACCCCTGACTCTTCCTGAATATCTCTCCTTCAGAATTCCAATGTAGAAAATCTACCACCTCATGTGATTCGTCTGGTGTACAAAGAAGTCTCCACTCTCACCTCAGACCCACCTGAGGGCATCAAGGTGTTCCCCAACGAGGAGGATATCACAGATGTTCAGGTCACCATTGAGGGACCTGGTAAGAAGGCGTGCATGATGGGGTTTCCTTCTTGATCCTGTTGTTGTTGAGAAAAGAACTGTTACAAAAGCCAGAGTGCAATGCTGTGCTAGCCAATAGTGCAGAGAGACGTTACTTTTGCATTAGTCTGAAAGCTAGTACAGTACAGTATCCGGCCTCATGGCATTGCTGAAGTGGGGGTGAAAGAGGCACTTTTTGCATTAGTCTGAAAGCTAGTACAGTATCAGGCCTCATGGCGTTGCTGAAGTGGGGATGAAAAAGCCATGCCCATTGAGCAGGCTGTGTCAGGATAGGGCTCCTCTCAGCAGAACATGTCAACTTCATTTCCCATCCCTCTGAGGTTTGGGACTCCTTTGTTCCCTTTGTCTTTTTGATAATTGATAACAATTATCAAACAATTGATAACAATAATTGTAAACAACTATCAAATTATTACACCAACATCTTCTGTGAGGTGAGCCAGGTGCCTTCATGGTGACCAGTGTGAGTGTTTTTATGGCTTCCTTGTGGTTTAGGTTAGTTAGCATTTTAATAGAGAGGGCTAGGAGGAATGGGTTGCATTTAGCTTATGACAATGTTTTGTTCTAGTGCTGAAGAGGCTAGGCCGGTCTTGTGCTTACATGGCTAGGAGGAATGGGTTGCATTTAGCTTATGATAATGGTTCTAGTGCTGAAGAGGCTAGGCCGGTCGTGTGCTTACATGGTTCTCCCAGCAGAAGCGCAGAGAGGAAATCAGAAGTGTTTGCTTCTGACTTTAATTAACCTTAGTTCGAGTGTTATCCACAGCCCAAACTGTGGCTAACTGTTAACTGGGGTGTGGTTGAGACAAGACAACTTCCTAACTAGTCTTTAAGGTTAGCTTGTTTTAAATAAAACTTATCTAGTGAAGACTTAGGATAGCGCAGAAAAGTTCAAAAGAAATCAGATTTCTCCTCCTTCCTGAAACTTGAGGAGGCTGGCGAAAAATCCTGCTTTGCAATATTTCTCTTTGGAAGGCATGGAATCCTTTTTTAAAACTAGGTTTTACTTCACAGTACATTTACGTATGCCATGCAGTGTCATTTACGTATGCCATGCAGTGTTTGTGGTATTGTAGTTTAACTTAATGTCTGAATGTGCTACTAGTGCTGAATACTAAAGCTGAATGACACTGTCCTTATGTAGATAATGCTTTTGTTTAATATAAGATTTGTTATGGCTATTTGCAGCTTTGATTCTGTCTTTCTCTCACATAGCAGTAATTGAGATAATGTGTTCAGTGTAGCATAGGGTGCAGCAATTTGCCTGGCTCTTCCTAACTAAAGTATTTATATTTTTGAGGCTATATGTTGTTTGCATATTTACCTGAAAGTATTCTCTGCTACGCATAGGACATCCGATGTCTGAGTAAACATAAATAGGGGTGTGCAACCCCTAAAAAAGATTTCTTTTTTCAGATCAAAAATTGTCAATTGTACCACCCAGAAATGTCAACGGTGCACAATTTGCTATATAAACACAATTCAACTCCTCTTTGATTCTATTCTGCGCCCTTTTTAGGAGTGATTAGCTATTTAAAACTGCACTAAGAAGGAGTAGAATAATGTTAATATGGCAAATTGTAACCTTATGAGTCTTCTTGGGTCACTTTCCAAATTTGTTTGCAAATTTGGAAAGGGGGGCTACTGTGGTTTTTGGGGAGGAAAGATCGTGCCTTCTGAAGTTGCACTTTCCTGAGGCTCATAAAAACTGCCAGGCCTATAACAACAGAATGGGCCGCTTTTATTATTAATGAGTCTCTCCTTGAGGACTGGTTTCCCTGAGCCCTCAAGGAGATGATCATCAGACTCATTCACAAAAAAATAATTTGGTGGTGAATGATATTAATGACTACAGTTCCATCGCCAACCTGTCTTTTTAAAGCAAGCTAGTGGAGAGAGTGGTGGCTGATCAGTTACAAGCACTCCTGGAGAAAACTGATGTCATTGATCCATTCCAGTCTGGGTTCATGGTACAGAGACTGCATTGGTTGCCCTCCAAGATAACCTTTTGAAGGAGAGCGACAGAGGCAAAGTGCCCTTGCTGGTCCTCCTCAACCTCTCAGCAGCCTTCAATGCTGTCCACCACAATATCTTCCTGGGGAGTCTCTCTAGGTTGGGGATCAGTGGCCTGGCTCTGATCCTTCCTAGAGGACTGTCCTGAGAGAGTGCAGCTTGGGGAGATGATGTCTACCCTTTGGACTCTTAATTGTGGAGTCCCATAGGGGTCAATCATCTCCCCAATATGAGACTGCTGGGGGAGGTCATTGGGAAGGAGCTTCATGTCACCAATATGCAGATGACACCCAGCTCTGTCTCTCCTTCCACCCATCAGCAGCGGTTGCCTGGACACTGGGGTGGGGTGGGTGAGGGATGAAAACTGAGGCAGAACCTGGAAAAGATGGAAGTCCTGTGGGTGGGGCCCCCTAGTGTCTGCAGATTGGCAGCCTCCCTCTCCTTTGGGGGAGCTTCTCTCTGCTAAGGATGAGGTTCCCATTCTGGACATTTTTCTCAACCCAGCGCTGTTAGCAGAATCCCAGGTAATGTCTATGGTCTGTTCTGTCTTCTTCTATCTTAGGCAGATTGCCCAGCTATGTCCCTTTCTTGACACCGGGTCCCTCACCACACTGGTCCATGCATTGGTGATACTGAGATTAGACTGCCTATGAGGCTGTTACTGAAACTACAGTAGGTCCAGAATATGGTGGCCAGAATATTGGCTGGGGTGAAGAAATGCTATCATATTTCCTCACTCTGGACCTCATCGCTAAGCGAATAGATCGTTAAACAAGACAATTGCTAAGTGAGGCACCGCTGTACAAAGCCCTAAATGGTTTGTGACCTCAATACTTGGCAGAACACTTTCTTCCATTGAGATCTACACATTCTACATGATCTTCCCATGCCAGGCAGTTGAGAATACTGATCCCTTAGAGAGGCCCAGAAAGAGAAGACTGGGCCTTCTTGGCGGTTGCCCCTCATCTTTGGAACAGTCTTCCGCCTGAAAATTACGTAGCCCCCACTGGGATGCTTCAAAGAATCACTGAAAATGTGGCTTTTCAGGCAGGATTCCCTGGAGTAGTCAACATCTTAACACAGCGATCTTTTCAGCATTTTATTACCTGATCTGCCACTTTGCCTTTAAACTGCTTTCCTGGAGTATTCAACATCTTAACACAACGATCTTTTCAGCATTTTATATTACCTGTTCTGCCATTTTCCCTTTAAACTATCTTAATCATTGTTTAGCTTTTACTTATGTTGTTAGTTTGTTTAGTTGATATTTAATTTTGATTTTGATTCATATTGTGTTTATTGTCTTCAATTATTATCTGTTTTTTTAGTTGTAAATGGCCCAGAGTGGCCCTGGCAGCCAGATGGGTGGTATAAAGTCAAACAAATAAATAACAGTGCTGAGCCCCATTTGCTATGCTCTTGTTCCTGCTGTAGAGGGTACCCCCTACTCTGGCGGCCTTTTCCGCATGAAGCTGATCCTTGGCAAAGACTTCCCAGCCAGCCCACCAAAAGGCTATTTCTTGACCAAAATCTTCCACCCTAATGTGGGTGCCAACGGTGAGATCTGTGTCAATGTCCTCAAGAAGGATTGGAAAGCAGAACTGGGCATTCGGCATGTCCTGCTGGTGAGTGGTGGTTTTAACTGTGTTGCATCCCGGGATACCTTGCTTGAGCTGAAAGTGGGTTGTAGCACACGAGAGTTATTATCCTTAGGAAGATCATAAGTTCTGCTTAATATCTAGTCAGCCCATTTGTCCAGAACTTTCTTCTCTCGATGCTAGTAGCTTTTTGGAGTCTTAAGGCAAAAGTCTTTTCTGTCACCTGCTGCCTGAAATCTTCTGGCTGGAGGAACTGATTCTGTGAACTTCAGTATGCAAATGAACTGCTCTGCTAATGAACTATAATTCCCTTGTCTGTTCATGCCTTAATGACGCCACAGTAGTCTTCTCTAAATCGGTGGAGGAAATAGTTAATGTTTAGGCACAACCCACCAAGGGAATCTCCTGCACGCAGACCCATTGAAACAGAAGGGTAGAAGATAAACGGCTTATCTACAACTATCCAGTTGATTCTTGCTAGTAAAGAAATAAACCGTGGAAGGACTGAGCAACTTCTGGTGGTCAGAGGGGTTGGGTGCGTCATTGCAGTTCCAACCTACTAGGGATCACAACAGGAAGGAAAATCCCTTGAAGCATTTCTTCCTTGAAACAAGGTACACAAGGATCATCCAGCTTGGTTTGAAATGTAGTGGCACTTCCAGAAGTGTCAGGTGGCTTCAAAACAAGGTGTGTGTGTTCTCTGCACTTTGTTTCAAAGCAGAAGGGCTGGCTTTTGAGGGTTTTTGCTTCCATGGTCCTGCAGTTTAGTAAAGTGATAGTAAACTTAAAGTAAACTATTACTTCTGTGCTGATGCTCCACTGCAAGATTGGCACCAGTGACGACTCTCAGGTAGCAAAAAAATGAGGGCAGGAACATGCAAAGTTCATAGGATATGTTTTGCCAACCTTGAATGTTCTCAGTTCTTGGCTTATTACATAAAACCAGAAATGTGGATTGTCTTTCAAGAATGGAGATGAATTTAATCTCTTCCTCGGTTTGTCTTGCTGATTATGTTAACTGAGTTGGAGTATCCCATTTTAGTTCTTCATTTTCTTGCCGTTTTCTATAATTCAGTGTGTGCCTTCCAGCATAGAGTTTTTAGTGCATATGGCAACATTTATAACACAAAAAGGTTATAAAGATTGTCTTGCTGATTTTTGCCAAACTGTTTCAAAGTTGAGCTCTTTACCTTCCTCTTGGTACATCACTCAGCCACTTCAGCCTGTTGTTTATTTACCTATTTAAAAGATTATTTATAGTGATGCCTCCAAGGGAATACAGCAACAAGAGCAGAAATGATAAAAACAAAATTATCCACTAAAAAATTAAGGCAATGGAAGTGTCTTCACACTTGGCACCTGGAAAAAGGAAAAATTGTCGCCATTCAAGACAAGTTGATCCATTACAACAAAACATAATTCATGCTTTTATTAAGGTCAGCTAAGATTCCATAGGAATGTGCAAGCCTTTGAGTGCTTTAGAATTCTTCATCAGGGTAACTAGCACAAAGGAAGTGGCATAGTGGGAAAGTCTTTATGGCTTCTTGTTGCGTTTCTTCTTCAAACTGGCATGTGAAAAAAAATGAATCAGTGGCTACAACCTGGGACCCTAACTTTCTTTAAAACGCAAACTAAATCAATGAATAAATTCCAGAGCCAAATTTTTCAAGTCACATCAAGAGCAGAAATTCTGAAGTTTATTTGCCATGTTTATAAAATATATGTGTCACTGTTCTAATGAAACATCTGAGACTGTTTATAGTGAAACATGTTGAAAAAAAATGCAGAACTAAAAAACAACTGCCCATTTTTACTTTCGTGTCTTCCCAAAATTTTCCTCAAGTGGTCACAGATCACTGAAGAACTAGGGTTTAAGGCAGGCTGCTATGTATTGATATGGGAAAAGCTTCTGGAAAGTGTCAGCCTTTTATAGTCTGGTGAAATCTGCCTGTATAATGTGAGGAGCTTTTTAACTTCATTATATACATTCTCATAACTCAGAGGTTCAAAACATTTGTAATTCAGCAGCGTGCAAGGGTGTTTGCTAGGGATGAGCCTGATCCTTGGTTCGGTGATTTGTGCTGGTTTGTATGCGCTGCACCACATGTGCTGTGTGTTCCCTTTCCCCACCTTTCCAGCTGGATACCGCACGCACCAGCTGGCAAGCTCTCCTCTTCCATTGACCGGTCTCCAGCAGGAGCATAGGTTTCCCTGCCCCCACCTTCGCTGATCACCCACTCAGACAGGGACGCAGGGTAGACAAACCTGTGCTTCTGCTAGGGACTAGTTGAACACCTGAGGAGGAGGAGAGGAGCGCGCTCCAACTGGTAATTGGATCATTGGCCTTGGAGGTAGGGGGAAAGGGACGTGTGGTGCCATACCATGTGTACAAACTGGCACAAACCTCCAAACAAAGGTCCATGCCCATCTGTAGTGTTTGCATTTAATTGGTTACTTAGAAAGCATAATAATCAACTGAAGAATAATCAATTAAAAATTCATTAGCTGGTAGACAGCTGTAATTTTGAATTAACTGTAGTAGATAAGAAAGTAAGATCTTTTACTTTCCTACCCTGTCTGTGTTGCTGCAGTTCCACCCCACTTTGCTCATTTACCTTCACTTTTAATGAAAGGCTGACAGTTGTCCAATAAATTGTGAATCAACAAAGATAACAAAGGCATCAATACAATATCAGAGTGGTTCTGCTGTGTCTAGGGAACATACTAGCTTTGGCTTGGATTTAAATTCCTCCTGTGTTGTGGCTACTTGGAGCAAGTTCAGGTCTGCAGTACAGTTACTGTTCCCTATGTGATTCTCAGGGGATATATTGTGTTTGGGTGCTTATTCGGAAAGCGTACCATATCTTCTTGCTGATATAATGCTTTCATATAAAAATAAAATAGAAGTAGTTGCTTTCCTAGTGTCGTCACTCTCTATTATAACTATCTGTGAGAGTTTCATACATAGATATTGAGTAGAAGCACCCTTCCTTTCTTAGGACCATGTCGGTCTTCTGAGGGAATAAGAGATCTGTGATGGTGTAGCTCCAGTGATAAATCTAGGAATAAGAACCATCAGTATTTAGGAACAAATAAATACAAATGACGACATTCTTCCTTGAAGAAAAGAGTTGTTACCTCGCAGTGTCCTTTGTTCTATCAACCAAAGTGAAAGTATTCTTCACCTCTCTGCAAGCGCCTGGTTCAGTGTTTCGTTCCCATTTGTAACTCTGTCCTGTTTCATTCTTCTTGGTCCAGACCATCAAGTGTTTGCTTATTCATCCCAATCCGGAGTCAGCTCTGAATGAAGAAGCGGGGCGCCTCCTGCTGGAGAACTATGAGGAGTATGCCTCCCGGGCTCGGCTCCTGACAGAGATCCACGCCCAGTCTTCCTCGGGCTTACGCACCAAGGACCCCGCTGAGCCTTGCTCCTCCTCGGCCAGTTCCTCTGGGGAAGGCCCCATAGCAAAGAAACATGCAGGTGACAGGGACAAGAAACTGGCCTCGAAGAAGAAGACTGACAAGAAGCGAGCTCTCCGGCGGCTTTAGGGAGCAGGGGACAGATGGGGAGTCACACAGGTTGGGTGGCGGGCATTGGGGTTCCACAGTACATTCTCAGTTTCTCCTTCCCCCCCCCACGTCCCAACTTCAGCTTTGACACTTCAGTCTAACTGTCTCCCATTTGTCAGATTTTTCTTCTTTTCAGTCTTTAAGTTATTTAAATTATAAAAGCCGAGAAATCTATTAAATGCCTTTTTTTCTAAAGAAGGCTCCTGATGTATGGTTGTGCTGTCATCGGAAACTGACAGGGCACACAGTGAGAATTCTGTGACCCTGCCTTTAAAAGGAATATGGCTGACGCTGGAGAAGATACTGCATCAAGATGACTGGAAGGAAGAGTGTGCCTTCACTTTTGAAGAAGGATTTAAAGGGGATGCTGTTTCTTGATTGGGAGGGGGGAAGAAAGTGGAGAGAAATCAATAGAGGTTCCAATAACTGAACTCTGTGAATGAGATGATTTTGTCTTTAGAAACTTGAGCTTACTCTCTGTGTTTGATTGAATGTGCAGAATGAAGAATTTGTTCCTTGGCACAACCCCTAAGAAAGGAATATCTTATCATAATATATGGCAGCCGTCTAGCTAAGAGTTGATTTTAAAAGGGCTCAGGTAGGCATGTTCATGGGTGACAAGTTCTACCATTTGTCTTATCCATGAAAGCAAAATGAAGCCCCACACATTTTCTCAGTAGGAGTGGAAAACCAGCTGAGTGAGCACTGGGGAGGGCAGGATCCCATGGTTCTTCCTTGAGTGGTTGGATGATACCAAAGGTAGGATAGCAACCCCCCGATGTCATCTAAATGGGTCTTGAAATGCCACCTGAGTGCCTTGAATTCGCTCCTACCTTGCCCTTTATTCTGTGGGAATTTCAGAGGCATTGCATTCAATCTACCTGGAGTGAAAGTGAGGTGTTACTGACTTCGTGTCCTGCTTCCAGCCGTTGCTGAGAATGCCATCTTAATTGCTTTTGAGCTCCTTGGGTCTAATCCAGCAAGGCATTTTAGCAGCACCGACTGTCCTCACTATAGCATGAGTTGGCAATGTCATTGCTATTGTGGCTTAGAGACACCTCCCACAGTAGTGTCTCTTCTTGAGAGGAGTCTAGAGGCAGAGAACTAGTGAGATTTTGCAAGAGGCAAGGTGTGCCACTGACTTTAGTATACAAGTCAGCAATTAAGTAACATGTGAACTTGGTCTCTGTGTATGTCACTTGGGAGTATTGTTATGTAGTTCAAATGTCAGGGCAACTTAGGATAGTACCAGGGAAACCGCTCCTACCTGGTTCTTTGCCTCACCTGGACGTTTCATCTTTTCCACCCCAGAAGTGTAATGAAACTCTTTGGGGATTTATTCCATACCTGCCAGCATATGCTGGCTGAATTCTGTTGCACAGCTTCAGGAGCACGGTGGTGATGATGTAATCCTCAAAGACAAATTGCCATGGATTAAAGGCTTCCTTTGGCATTTTCAAGGTGCATGTGATTTTGTTGTATTGCATTCCAGTTGTGTACACTATGAAATCACTTTTACTTAGCAGCAGCAGCATCCCCATTACGCCTGCAGAGTAACAGGATTTCAGCCACTGTATTAGGCTGCTTATATGCAGTCAGGGGGTTTTTTAGTTGACTAACGTTAATATATATGGATTCCCCAGTGTGGTGTAGTAGATAGAGTAGGGGTTCCCAAACTTGCGTTCCTAGATGTTCTTGGACTAAAACTCCCAGAAGCCTTCATCACTAGCTGTGCTGGCCAGGATTTTTGGGAGTTGTAGTCCAAGAATATCTAGAGACCCAAGTTTGGGAAACATTGAGTGATGGACTGTGACTCTGGAGAACAGTGTCTGAATCCCCACTTGGCCATGGAAGCCTACTGGGGGGAATGGGACTGGTAAAATCACTCCGTAAATATCTCACATTGAAAACCCAATTAGGGTTGATGTGAGTCAGTTTTGTGTTGATGGCAGAGAGTGCACAAACACACACACACATAATGTTAATATATAGTATTAGAGTTAATTGTGTGGTAACAAGCATGCTTGCTTGTGCTGTTTTGTTTTTGTTTTTTTGTTTTGCACACAACTGAAATATTTCTATGCATAGCTAGGCTACCTTGAATGCCATTTTTTGACAGGAAGGCAGGACAGAATTCTTTTAATTATAAACTGTTAGAATTGTCCATCCTGCCTTAATTGCCTTTTCCCTGAGAAGATGGTTTTTGATGTGTTTTCCCCACCCTGGATCTTATCTATATCAATTTCTTACATAACTTTTCTTGATGTTTATTTTAAATATTTTTTATGTAAAGCACTTCAAGGTCAGAAGTGCTTAGTATTATGGAGCAAGTGAGTTGAAAGAACCTTTTATAAATACATCAAATGTTTTAATATAGTGCTTTTCTGGAAGGAATCATACCGATGATGTATAAATTTAAATAGCATTACATACAATTCAATATCAGTTCAACAGTCCGGAATTAAAACAAACAACATACAAAAATGGATTTATGAAACCTTTTAAAAGGTAACACTTAAATATTGTCCACTTAAAAGCTAATGGAAATAAAAAGGTTTTCAAAAGATTTCCAGAGCCCAGCAATGAGTGTTTCCATAGAAAGCTAGCCAAGATAACTAACACTGTACCAGGTAGTTTAGTTGGTATTTCATTTGAGATTTTTATTTTAAATCCTGTGGAAAAGTTTTAAGTGTTTCAAATTTGCCTTGTTCATCACTAATCTCAGGTGGAAATTAGAAAAGCTACAGTACTTTTTCAGATTAAGTCCCAGTTTTCCTCAGGCAGCATGGCCGCTGGATAGAGCATTTGGGAGAGGAGTTGTACAAAAATAACTTTCCCATCCTTTCATGCTAGTGAAGTCTGCATAGATCTTGGCAGATGTGCAGAATTATAAAAGAGAGGTGAGAGTTGTGTCAGTTCATGCTTAGTTGCCTTCCAGCTGGTTGAAGGCCTGTTCCCTTGGGTGGGGTCATGCAAGGCACAGTGCTTGTCTACATTAAAATCATTTAAACTCTTGTTATGTGGCAGACTGATCTGATCTCCCTTGAGTAGACTCTCTGATGTGGCTGTACAGAGAAAAGGTTTCTTACTGTAGGCTTTGACACAAGGATAAAAACAAGGGTTATCACCCCGTAAAGATGGACAGTTATTTCAGTGTGATTTTTTTTTCTAGATGACAATCTACTTCCTCAGACACATGTCATGCGGAGGTGGTTTCTAATCCCTGAAAGATCACACTGAAATCAATCTGTCTTTAAGGTGCCACAGTTGTTGTTTTTTTGTTTGTTTTTTGTTTGTTTGTTTTAGCCTGTTTTATCTGTAGTTTTTATTTTGGTGATTACTACAGGTTGAAACTCAGTCTGGCACATGACGTCTTAGCCAGTTTGCAACGTTCAGAAAGGTAGAGCTGGGAAAGGGTAACCGTTATTGGGACTGGACCATACCTTCTTTGAGGTTTTAATGTTTTAAATTTAGAACAAAGGTGGTGACATGATCAAGATGTCCAGGACCACATGTATAGTATGCAACATATTTCCTTAACCCAGTGGCATTTATATATATATTGAACTACAACTCCTGTAATATTAAGGCAGCAGGATGGTTGGGGATTATGGGAACTGTGGTCCAGTACATCTGGAGACTTGTGGTACAGTGGTTGAACTGCAGTACTGTAGTGAAGACTACTTAAGGCCTGAGTTTGATCACTTTCCAAATAAGCTTGACTCAACCTTCTATCCTCCTGAGTTTGGTAAATTTAGTTACCCAGCTTGCTGGTGAGGGACAATGTGTAATCTGCATAATTAAATTGTAAACCACTCAGAGTTTTAAGCAGCATGGGGCTGTATATAAACAGCACACTTTGCTTTGCAGAGTAGCCGGTTAGGTAAAGTTGATATGGAGCCAACTGAACAGGGAAATAAAAAACTTTTCTCCATCTTGCAGTATTGCAGTTTGAAATCATACAATTTTTGATAAACTGAACTTAAAAATACATAGTGCAAGATGGGACAATTGCTAATTTAAATGGTTTGGGTGTAGGGAGTTAGACAAAATCAATGTGGTCAAAGCTGTCACCAGTTATAGAAGCTGTGTGCCTCTAAATTACCAGTTACAGTAACAATGCAAGACAGCTCTGGTCGCCATGTCCAGCTTGTGGGTTTCCCAGAGACATCTGGTTGGCTCTTGTGGGAACAAAATGCTGGATATGAAAGGCCTTAGGACCATTCTACTAGAGTTGCTCTAGGGACGATGCCACAACATTCAGAGCCAGCAGATGGCAGGACTGCACTTCCTTAAATGTTCCTACTTGCATTCATTTGAAACTCACTTGAGTGCCCCATGAATATGGTCACATGTGATTCTACAACAGGCCCTTCCAAGAATTTGGCCTCCAATTCTCATTGGTTCTGCTCTGTGAGATTTGGGGAGTTGCCACCCAAACCCTCTGAAGAGCACATGGTTCTGAAACCTGCCTTTGTATAGTATTCTTGGTACCCTTGAGGGTTTTTATCCTGCAATGAGAGCAATGTGCTCCTTTCCAACAAAGTGGTACTCATGCTTGAGTCCTCTTTTCACCACCCAGCTTGAGATTTTGGGGGAACTTGCTTTATGTTTGGCTTCACACAAGTCCTGCCGGATGAGCCAGCTAAATCTGCTGACAATGGCAAGAACAGAAATTGTTTCTATTTTACAGAGTAGAGGATATGGTAGAGAGTAAGTGGGTATGTGCGCATGTGCCTTTTGCTTCAGCTGGGTGCATTGGGAGAGTTAGTTGGCTTGATAATACAAAAAGGTTCAAAAACTGATGGATGCTGATTTGCTTTAAAATAATGTTGTTGGTGGGGTTTTTTGTTGGTTTGTTGTGAGGTGTTGAAATCCCATTGGTGCTGCTGCATGCGTGTATGGCCAATGTCCTCACTCATGTCCTTTTATCACTGATTAAACATTTCTGATTCTTCCCTTCCCCAGTTCCAAGTCACTTTAGGAATCTCTTTTGACTTGAGGAAGCCTCTGGGGACCTGGGGTGGGTAGTCTTTAATGTTCAAAAATCACCTGAATGGACCCACTCTCAATGGCAGAAATAGCTATTTTCAGACATTAAAGACAGTCTCGTTCTCTCCGCCCCCCTCCCCTGGGGTCAGGACAAAAAGGATCCCAGGGGATCTTGGAGAGAGTGGGGATTCGAAAACATTTAATTAAAGATAAAATGCTGTAGCTGATTTCAGGCTTACAAACATGGCACAATGCTTTTAAATACTGTATTTTAATGATGGATCCTTTCTGAGGTAAAAGACGGGTTAAAATATTTTAAATAAATAAATTAAACAAGATTTTGGCCTTTTGAAATCTGCCATAGCTGGGGAAAAAGTAGCCAAGGTGTGTGCTTAACCCAGGTCAATGAAGAATACACACAGTTTTGAAAGCTGAATGCCATCAGAGACTAGCAGTATCCCACTAGTCTGTGGGGACAGAGATATGTGTGTGTGAGAGCCATCTTTTTTTCTGTTGGCTGACACATTCCCCATGCGCACAACTTCTCCTCTGTACAGGGACGCTCAGAGAAGTGAGTTTGATTGTTTGCAGAAGGCTTTTGAAAAGAGACAGAAGGCCATTGGTTCCCCCTTAATATTTTTCCGGGTTTGAATCTGAAGCCCCAAACCCCTAACTTCTATTAGTCTGATCACTGTAGCAAAAATCCCCCAAATCTAGAGGGCATGATCTCAGCCTCATTGTGCTCCCCCCTCTGTGTCTTGTGAAACTGATGAGGGAGAGGAATTTCATCACTCTTTATCACTTGTTCCTATTGCCTTCTAGGCCAAGGGAATCTGGAAATCGAGGCTTGCAGGAGTTAACATTTCTGCTTCTATATCTGTTCATCTATCTATCCATCCTCCTTACTTTTTCTGGTATGATGGAGCCAGGGATTGTTTGTTTTCCATAGTAGGTGCTTTCAACTCTGGGACATGTGGGTGAACATGTTTGAAGCGTGCCTTTTACAACGGAATCATCAAAAAGGGCTCATATTATTACAGGTAGTGTAGCGTTGATTGGCATGAGTCTTGGCTCCATTTGAGCCAGACCTTGCAAAAGTAACTGGACGTCCTGACTATGGGATTTTGGGAACTACAATCCAAGGAAAGTAACATTCTCAAGCTTTTAACTTCAGCCTTGCCTGTTACTGGTGCCCTCCTGCCATAGTTAGTGGATTTTGCTGTGTTTTTCTTTTATTCCACCAGGTGGCACCTGCTTACCAAAGTCAAAGCAAAATGGATCCTAATGGGTAAAGGCATGTTTTGGCCAGACTTGTGTTGGTATTGCATAGATTAAAGCAGTGTGCAGAATCCTTGCTGTCTTATCTCATGCATGCTCTGTTGCACGTTCAAGTGTATGACAGGTGACCAGCAAAATGCTAAAACTGTTCATGTGATTGCCTGTATGTATGTGTGTGGTATTTTGGACTAGATTTCAGCTTCTGTGGGTTTTATTTTTATGTTGTGGGATCCGTATAATGATATCTTTGTTACTGTTACTTCAGAAGATACAAGAGCTGGGAAAGGGGAGGGAGATGAGAAATATGATTGGGAAAAAGAATTTCAGAGCTGGAAGGAGACAAGTCCTCCCCGCCCCCACCTTGCTCTAGTTTCCTGGCTGATTACCACAAGCTTCTTACAACCATATTTACAGCATCCTCTCCACATGGGGATTAGTATGGATCAGCGCTAATTGGCTTGTGGCTAAAACTCTGTGGAGCCAGAGGGAAACAGACTGGTTATATAACCCTACTTCCTCCACCCTCCCTCCCCACCCTACCCTTCTAATCATATGTCAAATCAAAGCTGTAGAGGGACAAAATTGGGTTAGAAAGATGGGACTCCTGCATTTGCTGGGCCAACATTGCTCCCTTGTTTCCAGGCAGAATCCTTTTGCCTTTGAATGAGCAGGTAAGAGAGGTATTAACCAGGTGAAACCTTGCCCTGATGATGGAGTGTTGTGCAACTCTTCAGACCCTTCAAACTTTTATTCCAATGAAAATTTAAATTTAAACGTTGTGTTTTCCTTTTAAACTGTCTGTCTGGATATGCAATTTCAGGCAGATAAGGAATTAAAAAGCTGAAACACTTTGCAACAGGTCTCTAGTAGGGATAGCCTTGTCTGACAGCTTTCTGCCTGCTGGGCCGCTATTAACTTGCTGTTAATAATGCACAAGCAAAGAATTGGTCAACCAAGCTGTCTCTAACATTTAGTGTTCATGTAGTGACCAAACTCCTGTTGCTTAATATAGTAAACTGTAGTAGAGTAGATCCACTGAATCAATAGCGATTTATTAAGTCAGATCCTCTGTAAGTTCCATTGACTCAAATAGGTCACCGTTGGAGTAGGCCTATTTGAATCAATGGAACTTAGAGTAGGGGATTCACCAAATTGGCATTGATTCAATGAGCCTGCTCTAGCGCAATTTACTGCACTAAGCAATAGAATTTTGGTCGGTATATCTGGTTTGTGAGTAGAAAGTTACTGGGGAGGAGAACACATGATCCTTTGGTTTTCTGAAAGTGAGGAGTGAAAAAGTTGGAAACCTACTTGTGGCAACTTGACATATTCCCCAGCTGTACTGAAAGGGCATTGAAGCCCTGAGACGGGGTGGAGAGGCCCCATTATTGAAAATTCATGGCGGGTTCTGAGGAATACCTTCATGTGAACTGGTGGACAGCAGTTAAATTGCTGCTGTTGTGTGGTGTGGTGGCGTGACAGTGCTCATTTCAGCCACAGGCAAGGGCCAGTCAGATCTCCACATAGTTGGAGACAACAGGAAATGACCTAAAAGGACACATAATGCAGGGAATTGGCGGTTGTGGTCCCCACAGATATTTTTTGCAGCAGCTCTGCTCAGCATAGATGATGATTGCAGACTATGGGAGCTGACTCCAAAAACATCTGGAGGGCCACAGTTGCCTGCTCAGTCATAATGCCACTGATGTCTTCGTGGAGGGCTCTGTCAAGGGATTATCTGCCTCACCTTCTGCAGGTGAGCTTGCCCTCGTACTGCTGTTTAAACAAGTTGCTCCCACACTCTGGAATTTTCTCTTTGCCAGCATATGATCACAGTATTTCCTCCAATAGCCACCTATCAGGAAATATTTTGAACATACTCCTCAATGCAAAGCTTGTTATGCACATTGCCCTTTATTGAAAAACAGGCGCAATACATAAGTTTAAACATGTTCCCCTTTAATAAATTAACCACTCCCTAGAAAGTAACTCCGTTCTTATAGGAGGAAGAAATAACACTAGGGAGATAGAGGAAAGAAAGGGACAAAAGTACATTAAAATCCACATCTAGAAATAATTATGTCAGTTCTATGATTCCTTTTGGCCTCCCACCTACCCCTCTCTCCAAAAAACAAAGAGGGGGATTTGTAAGTGTAATTGCATCCTCGGGAACGGTAAAGGTAAAAAGTGGATAAAATCATCCCTAACAGAGAAGTACATCAACAAAACAGATTTTGTGCTGGTATAATCTTTTGCTAATATGAAAATCCATGGCCTTTGTTTCAGAGAAATATATTAGGTTACACACTGTGTACCAGGAAGCAAGTCCCATTGATCTGAATGGCACTTACTAATGAGTAAACATGTTTAGTATGGGGAGCCACAAGTCTTCCAAAATTCTCCTGAAACATAAAGGGATAAATTACCAGCTTTATGTATTGTGGAGATGGGGGAGAGCTGGCAGGAAAGGAACCATCTATATTATATGCTTTTAAACCTACCCGGCAGTTAAGATCTAACCAGGGGGCCCTTTTGAAAGAGCCATCCCTTAAGGAGATAAGAGGGAGGGCTTGTAGAGAAAGGGCCTTTTCGGTAGCTGCCCCCAGACTATGGAATGCCCTCCCGACTGAGATTCGTCTAGCGCTGACGCTGATGACATTTCGGCGCCAGGTCAAAACCTTCCTGTTTCAAATGGCTTTTAACTGAAATAATATCAGCTGTAGGTCTGATGGCAATTTTTAGAATATATATTTTAATTGCATTTTAATTATTTTGCCCTTTTATTTTGCCTTTTTATTGTATTTTAAATGCTGTAAGCCGCCCAGAGACCTTCGGGTAGTGTGGGCGGCATATAAGTTAAATAAATAAATAAATAAATAAATAAACACTGTGGTTTCCCTACAAAGGATCTTGTGCATCACATGTTGGTGAGGCACTAAGAATCCTCTAGTAGTAAACAGGTAGACAACAGTATGTACATAATACCCTAAGACTTTTCCAGTTTGCCTGTTATTAGTGTGTTGACTGGTAAGCAAGACTAATGGGACATGAGAGAGAAATGGGGAAGAGAAAATGAGGTAACAGTGGATGTGGATGATCCCAGAAACTGGCTTTCATATAGGAGGAAAAGTATTCCGAACCAAAACTTCTGGTGACTTTCATCCCCGAATATAGGTATATAGGACTAGCAAGTATTGAGATTATTTCTGTCAACAAGAGGTCCCTCTAGATGTTCCTTTTGTTTCTCAATTATTTCATTAATTTATATATGGCCCCATTAGTGCAACGCATTGTTCTGGGTGGTTAACAAATAATAAAATGAGCCAAGCAATAACAAAGAAAAGAGTAAATCAGGATGGTATCATTGTATCCCTTAATTTAAAGAGTACAGAGTAGCCTATATATAGGCTTTTGTCATTCTATCCTCTTAACAATGTACTGATCCGGCTCAACATCATCCAGTGAGCTTCATGGGTCAGCAAAGCTTTGTTAACCTGAGTTTTCCCAGGTAAAAGCAACTCTCTGCTCTCTTGTACTATTTGGGGAAGTCATTGTCCCAGTTTTCCTCCCTTTGTTTCTTTCTGTTCCTCATCCTCAGCTTTTCCCTAAAACAACAACAAAAACACAAATATGCCAGCTCAGGTTGAGGTGTTATGTCTGATGATCAAAGGACAAGAACAGAAAAGGAGCTACGGCTAACAGAACGTGATGGGTCTTGTAGAGAAAAAGGTATACACTTGGTTTATTCTTTTTTTTCCCATTTGCATGCTTACACACAAGAAGCAGGGATGTTACAATATTCGCCCTTTTCATGAGTTGCATGTTTGTGCATGCATATGCACATACGCACACACACAGAGCAAAGGTGTTTTGGTTTTCCCCCTACATTTTCAACAAACACACTCATACACACGCATTCTCATTTCTATACTATTACTGTACAGCTCTGCTTTCACCTCCTGTCCATTTACACCAAATCCCCTATTTTTTCTTGGGCTCATACTGGATGAGTCTCATAATTGCATCATTCTTCATAACTCCGTCAATAAACTCCTTCTCAGCAAGTTTATCTGCCAAAAAAGAAAGAAAGAAAAAGGAGTGTTACAGCTAAGATGTGTAGAATTTAATATTTGTTATTATGTTTTAAATTCTGTTCCTTTTAATATTGTGAGCTGCCTTGGGCTCCTTTAGGAGGCATATAAAACAAACAAACAAACAAACAGCAATAGGAGGGTGGGCAGAAGTAACCATACAGTGACAGCTGGTCTGTTAAAGAAAATGGGATGCTCCCCAGTCACTCCACTCTAGCTTGCCTCGTTTCTAGATGTGGAGCATCAGGAACTTGTCTGCTGTGTGTATGTGAATGCTTGGCCACTTGTATGTATCAATACCCATTTTTGCCCCTGGCTCTGCNGCCCATCCCCCCCCCCCCCAACGAAAGGGCCCCCAGCCACTACCAAGACTGGCATCTACTGACATACTTGTAACTATAGTCAGAACAACACCCCAGACCCCCCTCAAAAATTAGGCTGCTGAAATCACTAAAGCCTATGGGGAAACGGAGCTCCTGAACAGATCTGTGGTCAAGCATACTCTAGTGGTCAGAGACATTTTGTTTCATCGTTCTGGTTTACAAGTCTTTGTGTTCATCTGAAAGATAAAGAAGGTCCTGCAATCTGTTTTTTCACCATTGGTTCCAAAGAGTGCTATCACTTATGGGGCAACAAGGGATCAGGCTGATAACTGTTGATGCCAGTTTTCATTTTATTCTCACCATTCTATCCTGACTGCCTTCCGGTTTGTTTAAGGCAATGTATATGCCTCTCCTTCCTGCTTGGTCCTCACAATAGCCCTATGAAACAAGTCCAGCTGATACTATGATCAGCTCAAAGTCAGTGAGTATCATGGCTACCTCAGGACTTAAAGCAGGATTTCTTAAGCACCATCACTGTAACCATTAGGCTACTGTACATTGGTTCTCTAGTGAGAGAAAAGTGATCAATGTAAGTTTGTGCATTGTTTAGCGGCTATAGCAAACCTGGGTGTAAGTCTGTGTATGTTCTGGGCCGTCATGCAAAATTTGTCAGTGAAAGCTGTTAAAACAATCATGTTTCGGGTTTGTGTGGTGCTTTGGCTGTAGTTTGATAGTCACTGACCTACCGTGTTTCCCTGAAAATAAGACAGGGTCTTCTATTAATTTTTGCTCTAAAAATACATTAGGGCTTATTTTCAGGGGATGATTTATTTTTTTCGTGTACAACAATCTGCATTTATTCAAATACAGTCATGCCATCTTCTTCTGGTTGCTGCACAATGGTGGAGGGCAGGGTTTCACTCAACTGGAGCTTATTTTGGGGTAGGGCTTATATTACGAGTACTGTATCCTGAAAAATCATACTAGGGCTTATTTTCAGGTTAAGTCTTGTTTTCGAGGAAATAGGGTAGGAGTAAAACATATGAAACTTATAGGGACTGCCTTCTGAATATACTTGCACCATTGGCTTGTTCACAGTGTTCTCTATACAGTGTTTAGTCACACCTCTTCTAATAACCTTGAATGATAGGTCCCTATGACTACCCCTTATTGCCAACAAATTTGGGGACAGGATTGAGGCCACACAAAGAATTTACGTTAGAGGCAAGGCTCAAACTGGAAGCTTCTTGAATGTCCCTGAGACATGCAGCTCCTTGAGTTATTAGACAAGGGACATTGAGCAGCTATCTTTACAGATCTTTGGGGGGTAAACAAAATGGAGGAAGAAGGGAAGAAGCAGTGGAGAAACACTGGAGGGTCACCAGCTGAAAAGAATAAGATTTGGACTATCTATAAAAGTTTTCTCAATTTCCACAGCAATAGTATGATGAAAGCTTCAGCTGGAAGCATCCTCAGATTCATAGATCAAATTTTTATGTGCTCTGCTATATCCAGCTGTGAAGCAGCTACAGCAATGGAATCATAGAGCTGGAAAGGATCTTTGAAGTTACGTAGCCTAAGCCCTGTAATTGCCCTGTGGATAGTAGCTTTCCAACTTTTGACACAGGAGAATCTACCACTTTTTGTGAGTCCTCCTGAAGAGGCATTTTTTCCTATGTGAGAGAAGGCAGAAGACCACTTCTGAAGTGGTATGTGCCCATCACAGATTTTCTGAGAATGTGTATCGCAAATATTGAGGTTGGTTTTAGTGCAGGCATCTAAATTCATATGAATGAATTCACACATACCCACTCAAAAGAACTACAATTACAGGTAAGCAACGTATCCTTCTAGTTTCAAATACTGAATGATTTACCTTAAATGCTTTTTTATAAAAGTAACATTTTTGGAGTGTCTTTTTCTCTACAGGCTATTCCTTTCAGCTGTGCCAAAGGGCCTGAGTATAACTTAATTAGTATTTCAACACATGTGATCATCTGTATATTTAAATATGCACACTTTTATTAGCAAAGTAAACAGTTTTGTGTTTTTTAACAAGAAAGAAATCAATGGGCAATTTTTTGCGCTTCATCGGGGGTGTCATTGAGCAAAATGGAAATCTGACAGCATCTGAAATGATTTGTATGGAATCCACATAAAATATTGATATTTTTAATTTCTATTTTTATTTATTTATTTTAATTTTAGGGTGCTGAGAGCCTTCAAAGTGCCATATGTATTGGACTTTGATAGGCTCTTTCTTTCATTGCCTATCCATCAGTGGAGGAAAAAGTCTTGCACTGGAATTACCTTTAAGGATATGAAAACATCTTTTACTTATGAACATATTGATAAGGAATCCAAACATGTTGTTTCACAGGCTGTGAAAACACTTGATGGCTCGTAGGGCCATGACAATACATATGGGTTCACAAAGGTAGGTCAGTATGGCAGTTGACTTGGATGGGTGTAGGAGAGAAGGATGTCCTGAAAAGTATCTACATAAATAACCAATTTTGTCCCAGCCTTTTTGTTGCTGTCATTGTCATGAGGTTAATGTTTTAAAGTATTATTAGCATGAATACATTGGTTCGCCATTCTGTAGATCTAATCCACATTACTGTTGGGTTTAAACAAAAGTCCAAAAGGCATGTACAGTTTTTGTTACTCAGGCTTATAAGTTTAAATACAGGCAAACTGTCAAGCCAGACAGAACTCTTCCATATAACACAGAAGTTACTTTTCTATTCCGCATGGTACAAATGTTCAGTAAAATTCAAAAGTAAGCCTAATTTTTTTAAAATGCTGACCACGGCTGGGTCATTAAAGAGTGAATTAGGAAGAATCGGTAACAGTAGCTTGTATTAGTAACAGCCGTACTTGCTAACTTTAGAGGAGAGTGTATGTGTGCCCCCACATGAGTTGAAACTCTTATTATGTGATGCCTTGCCTCAAACACAGCATGGGTTATGATGTGGTGGGATGGGAAGCTGAGGTAACCAGACACTGAGGCTTCTGCTTTACAGCCCTTCCATATTTTCTCATACCTTCCTCAGTCTTCATCTTTGCTGTAATATTAAGGAAGGAAAAATTGGATAGTTGCACAATTCGTTTTGACTGGTGCCTGGAAGTACCTTTATTCTCAATCTAACCTTGTGTGTTCATACTGGGACCAGTGCTGCCATCGCCTTTTCTCGCTCGCTCGCTTTGGGTATCAAAGAGGGGAGTACCAAAGATTTGGCAATATGAGGATATTCTGAAAGGTGGTCGTGACAGTAGGAAAAACATACCATTCTCTCCTTTTTTGAAATATGCCCACAGCTTGTCAGCCCGTTTCTGAGGGGTGTTTTCATCATCTGGTAAGGTCTTCTGTTCTTCTGGGGGAATCATCTTAAATATTGCCTGGAAGAATGAAGGAAGGATATTATTAACTATATAGAACCCCTTAGTATTAGCAGACAGTCTTGGTATTAGTAGTTTCCAAAACTAGAGATTTTTTTAATGACACCTTCCAAGACCCTGGGCCGGCATGATAAAAAACACCCAGGACACTTCACTTCTCCCTCAAAACAGCCTTAACTCATATTTTCCTTTCATTCTCCATAGTAATAGAGGATCTGAATATAAACACAATGGCATTAAACATGTAGCTGGTGCACTCCTATCATCTTAGGGACTGGGTGATAGTGAGGGTGACTGATGTTCATGGGGAAACCTCCCAAAAGGACAATTAACTAACTAGCAGAGTCAGGTGTGAATAGCAGAGCCCTCTTGGTTCAAATTAAAGACTTCTTTTTCGTAAGCATACTGTTCCCAAAGTGGTTGACCAAATGTCTAGGGGAAACCCAGGACAACACAGTCTCATGTTCCTTAGAAACTGATACTGAGGGGTGTATTGCCTAGTGGCTATGATTAATAATCCTTGATAGCCCATCTCCTTCATGAATTTGCTTATGCCTCTTTTAAAGCTATCAGAGGTCATATCCTGTGGTAGGAAGTTCCAGAGTTTAAGAACTTATTACGCCCCCCCCCCATTTTTGTTTTGTTGTTGTTGCTGGGGTGTGTGTGTATGTCCTCACTCCGTTTCATTGGATCATCCATGGTTCATATGAGGAGAGGAGGAGGGAAAAATGAATCCCTTTTGTCATCTTCCATAGTATGCTAAATTTTATATACCTCATGACTCTCTTAGTTGCCATTTTTAAAGGTAATGTTTCCTCACAGTGGAGTTGCTTCAGCCCTTTAATCGTTTTGTTTGCAAAATAGGGGAGTAGGAGAATATGACTGGCTTGAGATATCCTGACAGAATCAAAATTCAAGATGGCTCCTCATCGGGCTAATTGCACCTACAGCCCAGTCCTCCAGCACCTGGTTAAAAAGCCCTAAATAGGGTGGGCCAACAGGAACCTTAACCCAAGATGCTAAAATGTATAGGTTACAAAAATATTACAGCTGTGAGGACATGAATCCACCTACCCAGACCACATATACTGCTTCCAGCTGCTCCTCTTTAGGCAGAAGGAAACAGAACAGGTGGACTCAGCACAGAACCCACATGGTAGTTGATTGCTCAAATGGAGGCATTCCATTCCCATTTCTCCATCTTTTCTCGGCGGATGCTCCTCTCACCTGGCTCAAGCTAATCAATAGTAGCCCCAGGAGCCAAAATTGTTAGTTGTGTCTCTCCGACCTTGCCACCATTCTGCTCACCTCACTCCAGCACTGGCTATGTGAGAGCAGCTACTGCACTCTGCCTCATGACAGGATTGGCTCTGTCAGAGAGGAATAGGCAAGTGTAAAGCATACGTGCAGAGAGAAAGGAGGGGAAGGACAATGGAGAGCCTATGGATAAATTATAAGGGATAGCTATAAAAAAGCAAGAGAAGTGCAGTGCATAATTCTAACTGATCAATGTGTTGCTGTTTATCACATTTACATCCCTACATCTGTGGACTTCAGAGTACATGCAGCATGCATAAAGGTCCTCATTTTCCCATTGAATGTGAGATTGTACAGTATGTATGAAAGAGTGGCTCAAGACCTTTCACTGAGGATTTGAAAACAAGCCTAACCCAATTCCTACACAGTAACCACAACACCATATCTAGAATAGAGAGATTGCCTAGAAACGGAGTTCAAAAAATAATGGATTTGTAGCAGGTCTGCAGAGTTGTGGTTGTGCCTGAAGACCAACTCCCTTGGCCAGCACAGCAAATGGATGATGGGAGTTGTAGTGACCAACATTCTGAAGGCTAGTGGTTCATCTCCTCTGGCCTAGAATGTAAACCTCCTATCTATAGATGGGAGAGAGTTATAGATTAATGAAGAAATGGGGGGGGGAGTACTGTACAAAATACTAGGTTGTCCATGCTGCTTTCTTTCAATTCAACTCCTTCCAAGGAAGCTGCTGAGATAGTGTCATTCTCATCACCTTGGCTGGGTCCCATTTCTCTGTATAATCTACTACTTCCTGCTGGTGGATGTTATTGACCAGGGGCTCAATAATACAGATAATTAATTTTGAGGGTTATGGCCCCCAGATTCACCAGCCAGCATAAACACCGGAATACTACCCATGAGATTTTGGAAATTGTAGATATTTTTTAAAATGTGATGTTTTCCCATCTCTTGGCTCGTTTGCCCCTTCCACTTGAAGCAAAAGTTCAGATGACCAGTATCTGGGTCTAAAATGCGTACTCTGCCTATCTTCAGCTCATCCTGGAGGCCATTTTGGGGACGATAAATTGAAAGGAATGTATGTGAATACTTGGTTTAATCCTGGACTTAAAAGTGATTACATGCGCCTTCAGGAGGCTTGAGAGAAAGACTGGGTAGGTAGTTTAAGGTTTGTCCAAATGAGAAGTGCCAAGGAACACAGCTTATGTGTTTTGAGAGGGGCGTGAGGTGTTACATAAAGAGCAAATGACCCCTACTACCCTTCTTGCTACCAATAATCAGAGAGGTGTTGGGCCTCATTCTCCATCCCAAAATTAGATATACAGTACTATACAGGGTCTTCTAGCTTCATATTGGTTCATGTTTTCTTTCAGTTCAGATTGGACCTGTATCTCAACCTAGTCCTCATGAGTTTCTGGCTTGAAACTGGCAGATAATCTCATATGGTTTTACAGTATCTCCTTGCTTCCTTTCAATAGTTTTGTTTGGTAAACAGGAATTGACAGAACAAAAATCTGCTTAACTGGAGTTTGGGCTGTCAGATTTCTGTTACTGGACCTGCTACCGATTCTTCCAAAAAGCAGCCCTTATATATGCAAGTTAAGGACATTACAACCCCCACCCCTGTTCAAATGTTCACATTAAGAAGGGCTTCATCTATTTCTCTTGTAGGAATGCTTTTTTTCTCCTCCTAGCTCCCTTCTTTATGCTCCACAGCTAGATGCAAAAGGTTAAGCAAGTTAAACCTTTTCCATCCTGTATGCCACTAGCATGAAGACTAATTTCTGCATGTGAAGCTGCTGTTAAAGGCACAGCAAAATCAAGGACTTGGGAGAAAAATTGCCATCACAGGTTGCTGTGATGAAATAACTAACTTAACAGTTCATTCTGAGCATATCTGGACTACAACAACCAGAATCCCCAAACCTCATGACAATTAGCTATGCTGACTGATGTGCTGAGAATATTGGTTTTAATTTCACATTTCCACATAAGCTGCCTAGTCCTTTTTATCATTAAAAAGGGGGATTCGGACCACATATTTCCCTATGTGGTGAGATTATGAAATAGTATCATAATTTTGGAAACTAGTATTTAAAGAAATAGAAAAAAGGTACAAACAGCAATACAAGTTTCCTCAAAAATGGCACTATCGTTTATTTTTGAAGAACAGTGTGGTTGGGCAAAAAAAAAAGTTAATCATGAATATGGTAACGGCAGCCAGCTTAGTGATTGCAAGAAACTGGATATTAAAATATGTGTTTCAATTAACTAAATTGTATATTCAAGTTTGGGAAATAGCAGTTAATGACAAATTGGCATGAGATCTAAAATTTAAAAAGGAATTGTTAGAAGAGAATAAGTTTGTCAAAATATGATAAGACTTTTTGAACTTTGTATTACTGAAAGATGAAGACCGTCTACCCAAACAAGAGATAATTTTATTTTGGAAGGGTTATGGGGCATTATAATAAAACTTTGAAGGAAATATATTTGTACTGGTCCCAGTGATGGGTACACTAATATTAGATTATGTTTTTTGATTTGTAGTAAGTTAAGTTTTTATATTATTGAAAACAAATGAATAAACAAACTAATTTGACAAAATGTTGACAGTTTTTACTGAAGTTCAGTACTATGTATAAAATATATAACTTTTTTCCCACTTCAACAAAATAAATACCATACATAGTCGTGTATAAGCTGACCCGAATATAAGCCGAGGCACCCAATTTTACCACAAAAAACTGAAAAAAATTATTGACTCCAGTATAAGCCGAGGGTGGAAAATGCAGCAGCTACTGGTAAATTTCAAAAATAAAATAAATATCAATAAAATTACATTAATTGGGGCATCAGTAGGTTAAATGTTTTTGAAGATACTACCCTTCTGAGCTCCGAGACACACTTCACTTCTGCGGAGGGAGGACTCATACTGGATGCTGTGCTTATCTACTGCTCTACCGCTGCGTGACAAGATGGAGGGAGACAGAGGATGGAGGAGGAAGGTGAGTACATAAAATATACAGAACGAGGAGGATGGGAGTGTCCTGGAAGCAGAAATGCAGTGTACTTAACCTCAGTCATCAGATCACCCACAGAGGCTGCAGGTGCCCGTAGATGAGCTGAAGAGTCCGGAGAAACACCTGTACTGCAGGGGAGAACATGTAATTTTGACACTGACTCAAGTATAAGCTGAGGGGGTGGTTTTTTCAGCAAAAAAAAATTGTTCTGAAAACTAGGCTTGTACTCTAGTATATACAGTATGTACAGTATCCTTAGATGGTAAACAACTAGGCCGGATTAAAATTTTAGACTTTGCAGTCAGATCATTTTAGTATTTAAAGTACCACGTTTAGGCAGGATTTTCAAACATTACCATACAGAAATGGTAACACAAAGGAGCCAGGGCAATTTAATAGATAGCACCCTAGGCTAAAATACTCGAGAACAACTATGCAGCTTCTTTTTGCCATCTGTGAAACATGTACAGTATATTACTGACCCATCTTATATGTTTTGTAGGTACTAAGGAGCACGAGGGATATGAATAATTTGTCTTTTCAGAGAGTTGACAGGAAATGTGGTATCAGGGGTAACCGTTTAACCACACACACGTCTCAAGCTCTGATCTCACCTTAAGATACAGTATATGCCTGGCAGACTCTTCTGCCATGAAAATTTCAGACATTCATTTACAATTTTTCTGCAGTCTCCATGAGATTTTGATGCATGGCTGAATACATTATTTTTTAATTATGAAAACGAATGCTAAATGTTTCTTTTCAGTGGGCCTAATAAAGGTATCGCCAATCCTGAACTTTTATTGTATAACAGATCATACATCTCTGTATTTTTATTTGGAAATATCTAGTTTATTTTTAATTGCAAGCTGGCTTGAGGTCTTCCGGTGGGCTGAAATGCAGGATATAAATAGAAACACTATGTTTATAGGCTACTCCAATTAACATGGACAGTTACTTGTTTCAGTTCCCCTAATCTCCATCACCCACCTGAATGTCCTAAAGGTGTTTTAGGAAATGCTGAGCCTGCCATCTTGAAATGTTTAATGAGATGTTAATTTAGTCTGTGTGAATTTGCAATAATTATATCAGTCTGATCAGAGATTAATTAGTTGACTTGACTTCAGTGTGCGAGGTATGGAAATTAACCGCGGGAAGACAAATTGGGAACTTCCACTGAGAAAAGAGAGCTGGATCGAAGAAGATATTGGGAAATCAATAGAAGTCACAACTACTTTTAGTTCCATTAATTCAAAAAAATCTATTCTATGAACAACTTGGAAATGTTACTATTTTACATTACAGCTCTCAAAATCCACTAGGAAACATGGTCTGACAATGGGGGAATACGTTTTAGGCTTTTAAATACTCCCCAACTGGAATGTGGAACATCATTTCCTTTCTGCACAAAAAGTATACAGCAGGGAGCAAGGGAAGGACATGGATAACTTTTCTTCCATGAGTTTTCCTGCTAGGTGGGAGAAAACTTTGAGATAACATTCTAGAGCATTATCCCATGCCTATTGTCTGAGCTTTGTGTATGATAGCAGTATTTAAAATTCAAATAAATAAGTAGTATGATTAATTGTTGTACTTCCTTCAAGACTCTGCAACCATCTTCTGCTACATAGCTAGATCTGGCCACTTCAGGATGGCATCAGATACATATATAGTTCATCTTTTCCTTCCTCAGAGAAGTTCCAACCCGATTAATATTAGATTGAAAGGTCTTGGGGCCAAATTCTCATTTTAGCTTATGGGTTTCATGGAGTAGCCATGACAACAGCTCTGTCTTTCTATCTCTGTCTCTATTCGCCTAAATTATACAGTGGTCATAATAATAACTTCTCTCACAACGTTGTTGTGTGGATGAATAGTCAGGGAAAACCTAATGATGGCTGTGTATGAATAAATACAAATGTGGTTCAGGACAGGAGCTACACTATATTTTGTAGGCCTCACTCACAAGGAAATGCCTTTTATGTTTTCCCCTTGCCTCCACCCAATCAAGAACAGAAAATTTGTTCTCTTTGTCTTCATACTCAGATGTACACCCAAATAAGTTTTCTGTTTCCGATCATGCTTTCCCAAGGTCAGAGGAAGCTATTCCTTTAGATGACACAGTTGAAACAAGGCAAATATTGCACCGAGAGGGTCAGGGACTTAACCTTGCCTAATCCAACTTTAATCTCAGATTGCTCTATCCTTTTTTTCCATTACTTGTGGCCGAAACATGAAGAGGAGAGTCTAGAAACTAGAAAAATGGAGGAAGATTGGCAACAGCAAAGACGGATGATTTATGTTCTTATGGTTTTATTAAATCCACAAAGATGCAATTTAGGCCCAACATATATTAAGTCACTGTGACATCTTTGAACACAGCATTCACATTTCAGTCAGTCCTCAAGAGTTTCATGTTTTAAACCAGTCTCTTGTTCATTTTCCTGACAATTGTAATGGTGGATCCCACACACAGAGCAATGGAAATGGTACTTCCCTGTGAAACGCTAAATAGGTTTGAAATTTCCAATGAGCCTTGTGCTACGTTGAAGACTGAAATGTTTATTTGGCATATATACTCTCATGCACTTTGGCCCACTTCTTCAGATGCATGATACCTCTGAAGAAGTAAGCTCTAGTCCCTGAACGTTTGTGCCAAACACAAAAAGTGGTAGCCACAAGACTCTTTATTAATTCTAAACATTGTTAAAAACCTTCACATAATTGGAATCTCCCTACATGCTTGCTGGAGGCCAAGATGGTTAACCTTCCATTCTTTCTCAAAAGGTGAAAATTTGTTTCCTCTTGGGGACAATTGAGGCCAGGGAGATAGAAATTAGGATGGGATTTGGAACTGTGTACAGCCCTGCCAATCCTACTCATCCAGTTAAACAGGCATAACTGGATTTCCCCCACTGGGCAAGGCTAATTCCATTTGGATGAAAAACAAAGCCTCTAGTCAAGGTAATCTGTTATCATCCCATCACCTCCAGAGGTGTCACAAACGTCATATGTTCAATTCCTCCCCTCCCGTGCCCTTTTAATTAGGGTCCCCTTGTGTTTCAACAGGTGACTGTGATTCTCTTAAGAGGAGAGACCAGTGTCCAGGGCTAGATATGATCCACTTGACTTAAGATCCACCTAGATGAGTGGTTCCCAACATTGGGTCCTCAGATGTTCTTGAACTAAAACTCCAAGAAGACTTCACCACTAGCTGTGCTGACCAGGATTTCTGGGGTTTGTAGTCCAAGAACTTCTGGGGAACCAGGGTTGGGAACCATTGACCTAGATGGACCAAACTGTGCCTTTACTGAAGGTTTTGAAGTGAGCTAGGCATTGGATTAATGGAATTCTGAGGTGGAGGGATCTGTCAACCATAAGAAGGCTTGATCAGCCCCAGAATAATTCAAGCAGTTTTAAGCGGCTAAAAATAATAGTTACAACATTGTTGACAACAAAGATGTGAATGTGACGACTTCTTCACTGAGGGAATTCACCTCCAGTCAATAATGGGCAAAAATTCCCTTGTCACTAATCCTACAAATGCAAAGAAGTTTGCAACCCACAGATGCAAAGAAATTTGCAATCTATACGATAATGCAATGGGAAACTTCTTAGCTTGGATCTTCCCCAGTTATCCCTGACCCATCATTTTCTGCCATCAGACAAGACATCCCACAGCCCCCAGACTCACCGTGACGATCTCAAGAACCTCATTTTTGCTGATTTCTCCATTGCGGTCCACATCAAAGAGTGAGAAAGCCCACTCGAGTTTGAGGTTGGTCTTGCCAGTTGAGGTGAGATGGAGTGCAATGATGTACTCCCGGAAATCAAGGGTCCCATCATCATTTGTGTCAAAGCTTCGGAAAACATGCCGAGCGTAGACTTTGGGGTCAGAGTTGGGAAAGAAGTTGGCATAGATCTTCTCAAACTCAGAGCGACTGATGCGCCCATCAGGGCATTGCTTTTGGAAGCTCTCATACCATTTGCACAGCTCATCCTCACTGTATTTTGTGTTTAGCTTCAGATCTTCAAGGATCTCCTTGGAGAGGGCTCCACTCTTACTATTGCCCATTGTGTGACTCTGCGCTCACCCTGCTTTGCCAATGTTGCTGGCTTGTCTGTTTTGTCCTGCGTCAACCTAGCCAGTGAAAAGGCTGGTGCCCAGAGCACCTTCTTATGTAGACTTCCCAGGGTGGGAGGTGGGATGATGAGCGGGATTAAGACCATTGAAGCCCTCTCCTTGCTACACCTGGTAGCCATGATGAATCTGCATGTGCGTACACACATACACATCTTGTACATACAAAGTAACAGAGGCTATTTTCGTTCCACTGATCACATTTGCTCCAAGCTCTTTAGCACAAGGAAAATCCGATTTCTACATTGTGGGCCTTCTTCACTCCCCTCCTTCTCTCTTGCCTTCCTGGTCTCACTCAACTTTCTGCCCATGTGCCATTCCTGAGAGTGACCATAGCATGCAGATTAAATAAGGTGGGTGGTAGGAGAGAAAAGGTATCAAAGTAAGAAGGCAGGAATGAAGACCATCGTATGTGGGGATTGATGGACAGGTGTACGGTTATTCCTGTGCGGAAGCCAGGAATATATATCCCCTCTCTGCAAGCCATAAAGTACAATGTGGATTAGTAGTATTATTGGTAGTAAACTGTCAAACAGGTGACAAAAGGGACACAAAGGTCATGATAACCCAAACAAACCCATCTGCTTTTTAAATCCCACCCATTGTGATGGGAGAGATTAAAGCTGCAGACATATCTACTGTATTTATTTACTTACCTCTGTATATTTATTTGAGAGAAAGTTCAGAAGAATTCTGGATAGAACTGGGTCCCATAAATCACTCTGCTATTATAACAGTGAGTGAGAGAAACAAAGAAAGATAGATGGCTATTTACATATTAAACTTAATTAATCTAGCCTATGTTATCACTTGAATAAAGAGGGAATGTTGAGCCACGTAGGAATAACTGTGCACCTGTTTATTCATTGCCACAGATGGTGGTCTTCATCCATACTTTCGTTTTTGTTTTTGTTTTAAATTGGGCAGCATTTTCAATGCTATGACACACATAACTTTTTTTAAATGCTAACAACAACCACTAGGAGTATGAAATGTGATGCTAGAGGAGAGCTTTCATGATACCCTGGACTGCCAGAAAGACGAACAAGCAGGTCCTAGATCAAATCAAGCCTGAACTATCTCTGGAGGCAAAAATGTTGGAGCTGAGGTTGTCCTACTTTTGGCATATCAAGAGAAGGCAGATTCTCTATTCTTCTTCTTCTTCTTATTGTTGTTGTTGTTGTTGCTGCTGCTGCTGCTGTTGTTGTTGTTAGTTTTATTTATATGCCGCAAGATAATGCTGGGAAAGGTGGAAGACAGTAGGAAAAGAAGAAGACCAAATATGTGATGGACTGACTCCCTAAAGGAAGCCACAGGCTTGCGTCTGCAAGAGCTTGAACAGGGCTGTTAAGGACAGGACCTTAGAGCTCATTCATAGGGTCACATATGTGGGAGATGGCTTGATAGCATATACCATACATTGTGTACATGTACAAGTACAGTATATGGCCAGAATCCTATTGATGATTTATGCTTGCAAAAAAGGAACTCATGTAAGATATGGTGACAGATTGCTGCTCATTAATGAGGCACTGGTTGCCTTCTTGGGCTCTCGCCTGATTGAGTACACACCCAGGAATGCAAGCAGCACCTTGTTAATAAGTGACAATTTGCCACTGTAACTTAAGGTATTTTCTTTCTTTAACATAAACCACCCATTGGATTATAGTCTATGTATCTTCCCTGTTGGATATGATTCACTTCTCAACCCGATGGGTGCCCGTTCTATTCAGGAAAAGGTGTACAATGTTCAAGAACCAAACAAACCAAGGACACCCTCATACAGAGAGCCCATAAGGATACTTTATTCATTTTATGTGGAATGTTGATGTTTTATAATGAGAATTATTTTCAGAAGTATCTGGGAGGTGGGCTGTAAGCTGATTAGGGTCTTTGTTCTCCTGAAATGAGCACGGGGGAAAGATAGTCATGTATTCCTTCAGACCTCTGGAGGAAAGAAGAAATGGGAATGAAATAATTGAAAGTCAGTGTATAGTGTGGTTAGAGTGATGGAGCAGGACATAGAAGACTCAAGTTCGAAACTCACTGGGCTAATCATTCTTGGGTTAATCATTCTTTCTTAGTCTGACCTCCCTCACAGGGTTGTTTACAGGATAACATATGTAACCAGGCCATGTATGCCACCTTTAGCTAGAAGAAAAGCTGGACAAAAATAAAGGAAATAAATACATTAGAAAATCAGTACATGAACTGACTAAAATTGCTTGAAAAACTAGAGGCTCAAAATTACTTCCTCATTCCAGTGATAAAATTGGCTAGGTGTATCATGGCAATATTAATAGTTGTTGATCTAGAGCCAGCACATGGATTTCGAAATTCTGTATCTTGGGATCTTAATTTAGAGAAAAGATCACTCCCGACCCTGGAGTTTCCCAGGGAATGACCTTTATTTGTTCTTACGTCAGGCCAGCCCTGCCGTAAATCCAAGGATCCTGAAATCCAAACCTTGTTTAATGGTAGTTACCAATCCAGAAAGGCTTTCAAAGGCTCCTGCCAAGATCTAAGGCTCGCTGGGAAGACTCAGGAGTTCCAGTTATTAGCAGTCTCCCACCTGGTCCCATGGTCCCCCTCTTCCACAAAAACAAACAAAGGAACAAAATAAACAAACCTAAAGAATTCATTAATCTCTCTAACTCTTTAGGTCCAATTATCCTCTGCAGAGGGCCCAAGATATGATCCCCATCCTTTCTTCTCCCCTTCTCTAACCACTAGGAATCACTCCTTTCCAGGTGTATTGCCTAAGAGCCACCCCCGCAACACAAACACTTCACTGACTAATTGCAATGGGACACTGCTAATTTGGCTGTCCCTCGCTGCCCCTCGGCCATATGCTCAATCCGCTTTGTCCTCCAGATCTGTCAGGAAAGCGGGATTAGTGTCAAAAGTAATCCATCAGGATTCACTTGTTTTGTGGTGTATGTGTTTATGGAGAAGTGATGGCACGCTTGAATCTCTGCCCCTTATTAGTCGGGAAGGATGAAGGTATGCAGCGTCGCAGGTTTCCAGCTCGTCACAACCCACTGGCGTTCTAACTGGAGCTGAGGGGAAATCCAGTCCAATGCATCTCTAGGTTGGAGAAAGCTCCATTAAGCAGTCCCCTTGCAAACTTCTCTTCCTCCATTTGCAGAGCTTTTAAAGGTTACGTTTTAGACTAGAAAAAGGATGAATGGAGTATCTGGGGAGTTTCCCAGGCTCTGTGGGACAGAGAAGGCAGAAGAATTACAAGGGAATGTCTAAAACTAGAAGGCTCCTGGTTTTGTTGTGAATTGAGAAGGGGGAGAAGCCCAAGAAACCCTAATGCTGGAATGAATGTAGGGTGGGCAAACAGGCAGGGGGTTAATTGTCCCATCTTTCGGGGAACCGCTTTTCACATCAGCACATCTGTCCAGGATCCTTTCTTTCTTTCTTTCTTTCTTTCTTTCTTTCTTTCTTTCTTTCTTTCTTTCTTTCTTTATTTATTTATTTATTTATTTATTTATATCCCGCCCATCTAGTATATTCTACCACTCTGGGCGGCTTCCAGTATGACATATATACATTAAAATAAGACAAGAACATTACAACACAATCAATAACAGATACAGTGCAAAAATATTGTAAATAAACAGGAAGAAAGAGAAGAAAGTCAAGTGTTGACAGGAGGGAAGGCTGGATGTACATCCATGTTTTTAGTTGGCTTTTCAAAGTACCCAGCGTGGGGGCCTCGCGAATCTCCGGAGGGAGGTTATTCCAGAGGCAAGGAGCCACCGCCGAGGAGGCCCGGTTTTGTGTCTTTTCCCTCCGGGCCTCCCTCAGCATCAGGCTCCTCAGCCTCACCTCCTGACTTGTGCGAGTGATCCGGGTAGATCTTGGTGGGAGCAGGTGCTCCACCAAGTATCAAGGTCCTAAACCATTTAGGGCCTTATACGTAAGCATTAAAACTTTGAAGTCAATGCGGAAACGAATGGGCAGCCAATGCAGCTTGGCCAGAGTAGGAGAAATATGCTGGTATTTTCTCACTCCTCTAAGGAGTCCGGCCGCCGCATTCTGCACCACTTGAAGTTTCCGCATCAGCCTTGTACTCCAGTCATCCTTGACCATTTCACTGTCTTCAGTCTCCAGTATACTGACTAACACCTCAGGATGGTTTTGAAGGTCCTGTCAGTACTTCCCATGTGCCATTTCCATGTCCCAGATATAAATTCACAAGACATAAAACTTTTGTTTGCAACCTGCTCCTCAGTGGGATGAGGAAAGAACCATCCAAAACTCCAAAATTCAGGACCTGAACTCTGGCATGGTGTCTCTCCTTGCAGATACACATTCTCAATCTTTTCAACAAGAAACATGAAACAAAATAAAAGTAACGACAACAAAAAATGTTGTGGCACCTTAAAGACTAAGTGCTATATTTTAACGTAAGCTTTCCTGGACCACGTCCACCTCATCAGACATAAGAGTTTGACTATAGAGATTACGTGGTAAATCTGTTTCTCTTTTCTCAATAATATAGAAAGGTTCATCACTCCAGGAGAACTAGTGTAGTGCAGGGATTAATGTGATGAACTGGGTTTCTTGTCACCCAGAGCCATAAATCTTTCTGGGTGATTTACTGGACACAGTTTTTGTATGATTAATGTGGCGAGGGTAACCAAATAGTTGCGCTAAGTTCGCTGGAGGAAAAAATGAGATGTAAATCTAACAGATAACAAATAATGAACTTCTTTCTCACACACCGTTCTCTCACTCAGAAAACACAGATTTATTAATTTGCACACTCATGTTCTCTCTCACACACACACATACACACACATATGCATTCTCACCCTGGCTTTCATTTTTACATCTCTTCCCTCTGTTTTCCCCCACACCCACCCAATTACTCACAAAGGTTAGGAACCTAGGGAGATGTCTTATTTCAAGTCAGGTCATTT